TCCGTACTCTTAGGATAAACATAATGCCCTAAAATATAATACTTTTAAACTATTCTCTCCCCCATAGACTTCAATTCCGTAAACGTATTTCATCCAGTTTTTCTCAGTCTTACCCCCACCCCAATGTCAGCCTCATTCTACAACAGTGGCACCATATAGCATGTATCCCTTTTTCTAGGCTATTTTTATCTTAAATTGCATAATGTTCCTTGCCATTTTTTTCCCCATGTCATTGCGGTTTAGATGAGTGGAGGCCAGTTTTTGTGTAGATTATTCATATTAAACATTTGTCTATGAGAAGCCAATACTAAGGATAGCGTTCACCCTGAGGCACTAAGGCAATCCTTAAGGGTTTACCAATTCTTGCATTTGCTGACTCCTCCCTCCTGAGTCAAGGGGAAGGTTTTCAATAGAAAGAGCTTGGCTTCATTTGCATTGAATTCTCTCTGTGATTTACTTGCTGAGGTTGTCTCTGTAGCTGAGAACTGCTGGCCCCCTGTTTTTATCTCATTCTTGGTTGTGGTCTCATTATTAATAGTTATAAAAATACTTTACCCTCAGCCTGCAACATTTGTCTGATTGTTTTTTTTCTTCTTTCATTCTTACTTATTGTCCAGTTCTTAGCAGTATAGCAAGTGATTGAAAAGACCATAGTCTGAACCAAGTCCTTAAACTACATCACTGCTCCTCAGTAATTTGGAGAGGTTCTCTACGATGTCTGATTGTTTCTTCACGATGCTTTGTAACTTGCTTTCTTCATGATGCCCCCTACTTTTCCATACTTCATAGAAATTGAAGTCTCTCTTTTTTAAAAAAAAAATTTATATTGGTTGCTCACAAAGTTCGTATATATCGTGTTTCCCACTATTTATTCATACTTTGTTTCATACAGTCCCTTCCATGTATTATATTTTATAAAATCAATCACCACTGGACCTTACCCGTCATTATCCAATCTTTTCTGGTGTCCCACGGATCCTTCCCATTTCCTTCACCCCGTCCGTTTGTCCACTAAACTGTGCAACCCGACCTATCCTCACTCCTCTGCTCCCATTGTTTACCCCCTTGGGTCTTTATACATGTTTTACTAGTTATCCTGTTTTTTATAGTAACAGTCCTTAGGAGACTGAGTTAGTTCACTTAGCGTAATGCTCTCCAGTCTCTCCCAAATTGTGTAGTATTTTTCAAAATTGCTGCTCCCAAGTACTGCATAGTATTCCACT